AAGCTAAATATTTAAGTCACAAGTAAATATTTAGCTTGTTAACTAAATATTTAATTTGTGAGTTAAATATTTAGTTTATAAACTATGACATTTATAAATGTATGAATCATATGGTGAAAAACTGACTTTGAAAAATAAATCTGTTCTTTTTTTCTTATAAAAGGCTAAATAAAACAAAAATTGGTGGTAATTTTTGACTGTGTAACTTTACAAACAGCACCCTATACACATTCACACACACATTCACACACATTCACACACACTGTCATGTCTACAAACACTAACATGTACAAATCTACCTGTGGAGACCAGTCAGTGCTTAAAATCACACTCATACACTGATAGAGTGGGGGTTCAATGTCTTGTCCAGGGACACTTCAACATGCGACTGGAACTGAAGCAAGGAATTGAACCACCAACTCTCTGATTAGAGACACAACTTAGCCACAGCCACCCCTTGATCTTCATTGAGATAAATTCAAATTCAAGCCAGCAACTAAACGAGGCTTGTTAAAACTGTTTTCATTTAGTTTATGGCTATAAACTCCCTCYACCTGAGCCTTGAAACCATAACAAACGTCTCTTCACTTACCTTGGGCCTCTTCCATTGGATCTGGACAGGAACGCTCTGACTGAAGTAGAGAGAAGAGTCAGCAGCAGGGAAGTCTGGGTCCTCAAACAGGACTCCCTTCTGGAGACACTCCTGTCTGAGCTGCTCAAAGGTTTTCCCGTTCCACTGAGTGCTCTCAGCCTGGATGGAGCTGGAGCTCCTGCCCGACAGGGTGGACTGCAGAGGCATCTTCTTCAGATGAAGCTCAGAGGAGTGAGGTGAGCTCTGGTTCACTGAGTGGCTGGCTCTGGGTCTGAAGCAGGGACAGCTCTGTCAGATGGGTAGGCTTGGTTTGTGCACACACCCAGTCACACACAAACTGGTTTTTCCTCCAGGCAGTCAACCTGCCAGTCTCTGTTTTGGGCTTGGTCTGCAGAAAGATTCATCCCTGCTGACAAGGCAAGAGAAACAATCAACGCCTAAAGTGAGTTATTACAACCTGCAAATGGCACGTTGTTCAGTTTAAGATCCATCACATCACTAAAACCTTCCATGKTTGTACTGGTGTGGAAATGAGAACAGAAACGTCTAAAGCTAAACCTTTTCAAATCATTTTTACTGGACCTGTTTACATGCAAACAGTTTAAGGCCTGGCCTGTCTTTAGTAGTAGTAGCAGTAGTAGTAGTAGTAGCAGCAGCAGTAGTAGTAGTAGTAGCAGTAGTAGCAGTAGTAGTAGTAGTAGTAGTAGTAGTAGTAGTAGTAGTAGCAGTAGCAGTAGTAGCAGTAGTAGTAGTAGTAGTAGTAGTAGTATCAGTAGTAGTAGTAGTAGCAGTAGCAGTAGTAGTAGTAGTAGCAGTAGTAGTAGTAGTAGTAGCAGTAGTAGCAGTAGTAGTAGTAGTAGCAGTAGTAGTAGTAGTAGTAGTAGCAGCAGCAGTAGTAGTAGTAGTAGTAGTAGCAGTAGTAGTAGTAGTAGCAGTAGCAGTAGTAGTAGTAGTAGTAGTAGTAGTAGTAGTAGTAGCAGTAGTAGCAGTAGCAGTAGTAGTAGTAGTAGTAGTAGTAGTAGTAGCAGTAGCAGTAGTAGCAGTAGTAGCAGTAGCAGTAGTAGTAGCAGCAGCAGTAGTAGTAGTAGTAGTAGTAGTAGCAGTAGCAGTAGTAGTAGTAGTAGTAGTAGTAGTAGTAGTAGTAGCAGGAGTAGTAGCAGTAGTAGTAGTAGTAGTAGTAGTAGCAGTAGTAGTAGTAGTAGCAGTAGTAGTAGTAGTAGTAGTAGCAGTAGTAGTAGTAGTAGTAGCAGTAGTAGTAGTAGTAGTAGTAGTAGTATCAGTAGTTGTTGTAGTAGTAGCAGTAGCAGTAGTAGTAGTAGCAGTAGTAGTAGCAGTAGTAGTAGTAGCAGTAGTAGTAGTAGTAGTAGCAGTAGTAGTAGCAGTAGTAGTAGCAGTAGCAGTAGCAATAGTAGCAGTAGTAGCAGTAGTAGTAGTAGTAGTAGCAGTAGTAGCAGTAGTAGTAGTAGTAGTAGTAGTAGCAGTAGTAATAGTAGTAGCAGTAGTAGTAGTAGCAGTAGTAGTAGTAGCAGTAGTAGTAGTAGCAGTAGCAGTAGTAGTAGTAGTAGTAGTAGCAGTAGTAGTAGTAGTAGTAGTAGTAGTAGTAGTAGTAGTAGTAGCAGTAGTAGTAGTAGTAGT